CACGAACGGCTTGGAGCCGAGCAGGCTTACCCTAAACTGGTAATTCTATGTAATAGCGAGTAATACTTAAGAAAGCATGTAATTTCTTATGTTGAAAAATTGCTTTGAAGTCAAACGAAAATTCGCAGAAACTTTATTCATTAATTTGCCAAATGATGTGAAAGACACTATTTTAGTTCGCTATCGTTGCAGACTTCTATCATGTCTGCCGACGCCAATGTGTTCAAACGTCTACCAACGTGCGTCGTTCCACAACAGGTCAGTCATTACTACATGCTTTGATCTCACTTTCACGCGAAGCATTTTACGGGACGCCAAGCATACCAGAACCGTTACTAGTACATGGTGAAGTGAAACATGTTCCTCATTCCGAATGCTCGTGGGAGTTTGAAGCTCCACTTTGCCTAATAATTTCTGATGTCGTAGCCTCTTACGACCTGACGCTCTTTTCCCTACAGTGAGAGGTGATCGATCTCGCGGTGAGAGTGACCCCTGGCTTGTAGCTGTTACCGCTATGGCATGTGGACCAGTAGGACTGTAAGCAGCAGGAACTTGAGGTGATAAGCGGTCAGCTCTACGTTTGCATGGTACTTTGTACCTCGCAAGGGCGATGATCTGCCAAGCTGAAGCTATCTTCAGAAGTGCGGCGGCGTTTGCTCCTCATCTTGTATACGAAGTAAGTCTGATACTCAGCGTCACTTTGGTCAGCTTCTATTACCAAAATTTAAATTTCATAGAGGGTACAAGTCCCCCAGTCGCTGCTACAATAAGCATGGGTGGTTAGTGAAGATTTTCGGTGCTCGCGGAGCGAAGTTTTGCTTTCGTTTCGCTCTAGGCTAGAGCGGAAGGCCCATACGCATAGGCTTGTGGGAGACATTTACAAGCGCGGCAAGCATTATTGGGTGGTGTCAACCGTAATTGCGGTGTGATGAATAAAAAATTGCCGTTACTAGCGTGGCAAGCCTCTGTGGCCGGTTTGAATCGTAATCTCGGCGTGATGAATTCGGTAAAGTTGGCGTTACTCTTGCGCTCACAGCAGAGCAAGGTAGAATTCATGAAGCAGATCCGGTTCGTTAGTGATAATTTGGAAATCGTCATGAGCTACACGGCGGAGTGTCATAACACTTCTCGCCAAAGGAAATGGGCACACCGTCCGACACTTGTACAGCAAACGCAGTGTGCGCCTTCGTCCTGAAGAACGGCTTGGCTGTGTATCACCGGTTGAAAGTGGATGTGTTTTGTCAGGACTCGAAGATAATTTTTCTGGTGAGCACTTCTCGATAATTCTTTGAGCGCGTCAGTCGCAAAGGCCGCGTTTAAGTAAAGATTTGTTGGACCTTTTGGTGCAAGTATTGTCGGAAAAACAGGATGGGATTTCGAGTCGCGTCTAGTAGAAGCGAACAATTCATACTTCTGTATATTTGTAAATGCGCACTCTTAAAGTCATAGCTTCTCTATTAACGGCAATCTTGTTGCAGTATAGCTCTATCAAACACTATTTTTTTAGCAGCCGTCTGTACGATTCAAAATTTATATTATGCGAATCTTGCGGTTTGTTTAGTCTTCAATGGATACCCGAGAAATGATAGATAGGTTGCTTGATCTGACATTATTTGAATCATAAATTTTAACAGCTTCGATTGTCTTCGTGGCGTTATTTGCGTAAAGCCACCGTTATCTAGCTATATATAGATAAAGGTGGTTTTTTTTGTTAAAAACCTATTCAAACGTATAACTACTGGATTTCTTGTCTAAGTGTTGCCACACCATTGTGTGGTCACGCCATATTGTGTAACTCACACCATCGTTACACTCTCCTCCATCAAGGTTTCGAACACCTACAGCTCACATTCACCTCGAACGAGGCTCGCATGTATTAGACAGAACAACATCACCAGGATCGTCTTCACATATTTTCTGCTCAATGAGACCTGTGTCGAGGACATGGAAGATACGCAAACTTGCTGGTTCTGATAACGCCCGCGGTCAAAGCCCTTCATCGTCTCCTGCACACAATGCAACATCGAAGAGCACGTTCACGGCTTCAAGGGAAGCGCAGCCCAAGCTCTCGGTAATCGAGTACTGCACAGCGCATTGTCAGCAATAGGGTCACACGATCAAGAGCACAGACGCGATGTCTATGCCCGACCGCGCACTGCACCCGCTACGGACGATAAATTACCTCGTCGAGAAGTTAAATGAAGTCGACTAAGAGTCGGATACTAATTTCCCAGGATGGGAAGAAGAAGGGAGCGAGGTGCTCCGGCAATGCGACGTGAGCCCTGATCAAAAACGCGGACGCCGTGTTCGGTTCCTGGACTCTCGACTTCCGGGGGATGTGACATTACCAATCACCTCGACGATGCACAGAAACAGCAGCTGAATGCTGTCTGCAAGGCGGCTCCCACGTGTGCGCATCCATGGTCGGTCCTTGACCCTCGTGTGGATACGGCTTCCGCTCGGCGGATCACGCCACAGAAGCGACGGATGCAATCACTTGATCGTTGAGCGTCTACGTGATAGGTCCCCGGCCCTACACAAGCTGAGCTTAACGAACGGAAAGCTCTTCGAGCTCGCTGCTTGGGCCTTCAAGAAATCCCGGTGGGTACGTACCGCACGCGACTTCATGCTCAAAAAGGAGGCGCACCTGTAACCGCGATGCTCCAACGCTGCCGCGTTCGCTTGTGCCGGATCCCGGTACGGCTTGAGAAAATTCACATAAAAAATGGTGGGTGTGAATTCGTTTCGGAGGGTTTAACGTATACACAAGGCCCCGCTTGGCCACACTCTAGACAGAGCTTCGTCTTAAAGACAGCAGAAATTGTAAAGGTAGAAAGATTTTGGATTTAATAAAACCAAGTCTTTGACCTCGTTTTTTTGTCACTTCCTCCATCTCTTCCATCTGTATATTCTTTCCGCATGTTTTGGCTTTCAGCCATCGCATCGCGAACGTGTCGCAAGACACTCAGTCTAGTAGACGGGAAGTCATCGACTTCCTTACAAACAGTAAGGGGGCTGACATCAGTTAGCCGCTCGGCTATTCCTCCCCCCATCAAGCGGATGGCGGTGTCAGCGGGACGCGAGGATGAACAAGCCTGTTCAAGTAGAGCGGCGTGTAGCTGGTAGATGAATGCACTGCATTGTTTAGAGCAAGCACTACGAGTAGCAACATGGCGCTCCGGTGCCTCGAAGTCTCAGCGCAGACGCTGTGAAGGACGACCTCGACGACGCGATTCAAGCGCTCAGTTTGACCATAGGTCTACGGATAGTACGTTGTTGACATATCCAGCTTGGTGCCCAACACCTTGAAGATCGACGACCAAAACTTCCCGGTGAGCCGTGATCCTCTGTCAGAGACAAGTGACTCTGGGAGTCAATATTATCGAAAGATACAATCCACAAACAG